AGTGAGGAGGAGGAGGAGGAGGAGGAGGGGAAGGGGAAGGAGGAGGGGGAAGAGGAAGAGGAGGAGGAGGAGGAGGAGAAGGAGGAGGAGGAGGAGGAGGGGGAGGAGGAGAAGGATAAGACGCTGCTTGGCGCCGCCGCGCGTTCGCACCGACGGGCACATTAGCGGAGGGGGGCGCATCGACCTTCCCTCGAGGCTCCGATCGCGACGATGCCCACCCGAAGGATCGCGGCAGCATCGCGGAGCACAAATTTGTTATGAATATGGATATGAAAGAAGGCAGCCTCCCACTGTGAGGGTTAGAGTGCTTGCTGCCTGCAAACGGCGCTGGGATCCACAAGGAGCCTCAGCCAATGAACTTCGGGACCCGTGGCCTGCAAAGGCCTGGGCACCGAAAAAAACCCGACCGTCCGCCGGCAGGGTGTTTCACTGGGCACCGAAGGCCTGGGCCCCTCGTCGGCAGGGTGTTTCCCAGCCGGAAGAAGTTTCCTGTTACGGGCGGCGCGCTCCGAGGTGCGATGGTCCCCAGCAGCACAGTCGACTAACAAATAGCCAGCGGCCCCCGTTGAAAAGGACCCGCACGACACGCACAGGACGCAGTGGACAGGAGCGGCCCGAACTCTGAGGCCTCTCGAGGCCGCCGCGGGCACCATGCCCACGCGCGGCACCATGGCCGCAGCATGGACTCTTCGCTGTCGCTTGCGGGCGGGGGCAAGAGCTGGGCCAACGCGATCTGGAATCGAGTCAGGGTCGACTGCGCTCCTGGCTCCGTTTTGGGCCGAGGAAGGATGATCCGAAACGCTGACTCTGGCAACCGCTTGCTCGAGGTCACGAGCATCGATGGTGGAGGCGGCAAACGTTGGATCGAATTCAACGCGCTGTCGGACCGCGCGACCATCAGGGCTGCTGTGCGACACTCCAGATTCGGCGGCACGCCTCCTGCCCTCCTGGAGTTCAGTCGGAGGAGGGGAAGCGCACCCTACATCACTCTGCTTGCCACGGGCAGGACACGCAGCCAGTTGGAGCCTCTGCGGCTCCTTGAACGACCTCACACCTCTCTTACAACAGCTGCATCTGGCGAACCCAGATTGAGGGGAGCTGGGCCCTTCTGAGCCTTGCTTCGGCGAGGTCGAGCTGTGTCTCGCCTTCGCGCATCAGTCTTCCCATCGCTCAAATGATGCAAATGCGCAACAACAAGCCAATGCCGCACACGTCGGGTGGACCGAAGGGCAAGGCGCATGAATTTCTGCTGCTGGGACGTAGCAGCATGAATATCCCTGCCGGCGCGCGCAACTAAATCTGCCTACCGATTCGCTCTCGCACGGACAGGTGATCCAGACGGATGCCCGCGGACATGCGAAACTCGAACGGCCTCTCCAAAGGCCCCCGCGGTCATCGATGTTGTGCCATATCCTGGCCCACGAATCCGAGCTGGGCCGACGAGGCCCCGAGGTGTGCGTCGGTCCCCAGGCAAGCCCGTCTAAGATGCCCATATAGTCAGTATCTACATGCACGGGTGCGATACCCTTCAGGAGCGCGCATGGCCTGCCCGCGAGGAACTGTGGACCGGACCTGGGAGCGCGCAATAAACCATAAGCTCGATGCAGGAGGTGCACTTCACGAAGTCCCACCCCTCCCTCGAAGACTCTGGCCAGAACCAAGCTTTCCTGCAGGCGCCGTCCGTGAATCTATCTCCTGTGGCTCGGCCAAGAAATCCGCACTCAACGCGACAGCGATCGCTGTCATCGCGCCGCTGCAAAGGAGGGAAGCATGATCGCGAGGGGGGCCCTCGCGTCCAAAACCACGAGCCATGCGTTCTTTTTGAGAAACCTTTCAAATCCGCACTGCCTAGGACGGTCTGCCGCTGCTGTTCGCGCCCAGGACATTCCCATGCGATGTGATGCGGGGTGCAATACTCGTTCGGGCAGAAGGGACATTTCGAAGTAGGAGCGTAACCGTGTATGTCCAGACGACTGAGGGCCCAGAACCCACCACCAACGATAGTGCGAAACATGGCGCCTTCCTGGTTGGAGGGGGCCCATGGGGTGTCCACCTGTTCTTCACCGGGTCCCGAATCGGGGTCCGCGGGGCCGTCTGGGGCTCTCCGAAGCACACGCATGATGGGCTCAATCCAATACCCAGCGGGCCCTTTGGAATCCATTCCGTCATCTGCAGGGTTGTCTCGCGGTGCCCATGGCGACCACATCGTACGATAAGCAGCAGCTCTCGCCGAATCGCGCGCATTACGCGGGGCAAGGGAGCGGAAGCCGATCTTGTCACCAAGATCCGTAACAACGGCGACGGCGGAGACAGAGCGCCAGCCAATGTCTCTCAAGGCCAGCAACATAGCGCCTGTCGCCCCTGACACTTGTACCCGAGGACTGGGCGCTTGGAGGACGCGAAATACCTGCCCCTGCCAAGCCTTCTGCAACTTGTCGTGAGAGATACAACGGTCCTGAACCAGAAGGGCCCATTGGAAGATCGGTTGCGTCAAACAGTAGACCTCCGGGTCCTCTCCCGTGGATCCCTGGATGCACGATGAAATCCACGTTGATGGACGGGCCCCTGGGGTATACCGATCCCTCACATGACGGCTCGCAACTTCCTGACTAGCGCTGGCCGGGCGCCGTGAACTCCCTCTCCGCGCTGCATGGCCGATGGGGGCGCCCGCCGAGCAAAACGTGAAACCACTGCCCCAGCCCTCTTTATGAGCGATTGTTTGGGCATGCGAAGTCCTGCGTGGGCGATGCGCGATCGAAGGCGAGCGAATATCAGTCTCCTCCCCGCAGCCACCTCGATACCCAAGACTTCCAACGCCGAAGCACAGCGATACCCAAGATGTTTGATCCGACGGACGGCCTGTTTACCTATCGATGTTGATGAGCATGTTACTAGCATCTTCTGCCTGGCAGGGCTCAGATCCATACTTCTCAAGGTCTCAGCGAGGGGCGACAGGGTGTTGACGGCGGAGGTGACGGTGCGGCCCGCGGGGCCCCTGATCGCTATAGTAACGTCGTCAACGTACAAGTCTATGGTGCGCATGATGCGCTGTGTGTTGGCATGCGTGTTACCGACGGGGTCGAGCATCACGCGTGCGAGGCAGAACATCGCCATCGGGCACCCAGGCAAGAAGCCTCGCGTGGCCCAGATCTCCTCAGGAGAAGTCGAGTCCCATGCAGTCCTGCGGGCTGACCTGTGCATCTGCACTGCCAATGCGAACAGAAGGGCTGGAAATTGATGCCGAGCAGCGGCGGCAGTGAGGAGACGCCAGGGTATACGATCGAAACACTTTTCAATGTCTACTATCGCCTGTCTCCCACGTCTCCCACGTCTGTCTCCTACAGTGGTATGCCACCCGTCTCCCACGTCCGCGGCTTCCGCCTGAACCAGGAGCCGCGCCGCTACATCGGTATTCGATGTTTGCGCACCGATCGCGAGATAAGACCTGCCAAGACGCCCGGACCAGTTACGGACCCAATCAAAGCGAGCCTTACCCCGGATACGATATACTGAGTTCAGCAAAGCTATCGGCCTGTAGCCCCTCGAGGGCTTGGAGAGCAACATGATATGAACCTTCGGAAATAGTGGCGGCCATGATCCCCAAGACTCGCATGAGTGGGGTATGTAGCCGGGGAGGGAGATCGCGCCGTTCGACGCGAGGGCCCAGCGCCCGGGTCTGAACCTGTCAGCTCCAACAGCCGTGCTAGACGGAAACCTGCTGGCAGCTTTACGAAGGCCCGTAATCTCCAGGGAAGGATACTGCGGGCCTTTTTCCGAATCAGGTCTCCCAGGCCCCTGAGAGGTTCGCCCCCAGTGTCCTGAAGCAGCCCCTGTCCATCGCGCTGAGGAGCCTCGTCGAGGCCATCCCAGATCTCGCCCCAGAAGAACCGCTGCGACGAAACGATGTCGCCTGGAAAAATGGAGGCGCCGTGCATTGTTTCAACCGTTGGGAGCTGCCACCCTTCGGGTTTAGTCCATCTGTGCATAGCGCCAGGCATTGTGGTCAGCGAGGTGCGGATCGCGCGCATGCGCGAAAGTTACTCTTGTGAGATAGCACGCGCCGGTCATGCTCATGTGCTTGCAGAATGCGCAACGCCCGCGATCTCTTTGCACCCGCTGGTTGCTGTCGAGCCAGGGCGCCCCCCGCGGTGGCGAATTTACTCCGACGCCCCTGCGCTCTGCCGCAGTTGCCGCCTGCGGGCGTGGCGCCGAGGTCAAAAAGGGGAAGCAGCTC